AGAGCAGAACTCTCAGAACCGAGAGTTATTGGCCAGTTAGCTCTGACATGAACAGGCCAGAGGCTCCGGATTCATGCAGATTTAACTGGAATGTGATAAGAAACTCTGTGTGTGGATGTTAACTTTGAAGATGAGTATCTTCTGTAACAGAGAGGAGAACGGGTGGGCACTGCCAGGGAGTTTTACACCAGAGAATAGCTCCAAAAGAAATAAGACAACCATACATTTAAATGTATTATGTGATAGCATACAATGCTAAAGTGAGAAAGTGCCCAAATCTAACAGATCCATGTTCATCAAATACTATGGAAATGTGATTAGAACCAGCCTAGATGTTTTTTAAATGTGTAAGTGTTTTGGTCTGACACATTTCCAGGAGATAAGCTGTCCGCATTCCTCGGGTTGCCTGGTGGTCATTCACACTTCCTGGTAGACGGATGAGTAAGAGTGGCAGGGAAGAGGGGGAGGACGGGGCAAAGGGGAGCACCTGTTTCAGGAAGAGGGGCCTCACACATCGCCATGACGATGTCCAGAACGTGTCCAGAAGATGCTGGAGGCGTCTTGGACTGGTCAAACTTGACCGCCGGTTCCTGCTGTAGGGGGACTTGGAGTTTCTTAGTTAAACAAGTTTTGAGTGAATTTGTTAAGTCATTCTGTGTCTGTTTGTTCACATTTTTGCCAGTTTTGTCATTTTTAGTTTCCTAGACCTCTTTTATGAGCTCAGTATTTGGTTAATTTGGGGTTCAAATAAAAACCAGCAGAACTCTTGAGTTATTTAGACTCCAGTTTGGATCAGATAATCAGATGTTGATGTTTTATCTAGAAAAAGCTAATTAAATGGAGCCATTTATGTCATTTTAGGCTGTTAGATGGAAGAAAAGCAGAGTCAGGCCTCATCAGAAACAGGAGCTTAAAGCTTTAAACTGGAGCTGGAACCTCTATTTTGCGTTTTAAAAAATGCAAACAGCTTCAGAAGTGAATGAAGATCTGTTTCAGTGTTCAGTGGAGAAGCTTTTTGCCTTTTTTCTGCAGCTTTGGAATAACGTTAGAGGACTTTCAGTGTAGTTTAGGAGAGAATAGAGCTGATTTTGGAGAAAAAAGGCAGAAAATCTGATTTTTCTCTGGACTCAGTTTGGATCAGAGGCTCAGATGTTGATGTTTTATCCAGAAAAAGCTCATTAAATGGAGCCGTTTGTGTGCTTTCAGGCAGTTTTTATCTGGACTCTACTTGGATCCGAGGCTTTTTGCCTTTTTTTCTGCAGCTCTGGAGTAAAGTTAGACGACTCTCAGTGTCATTTAGGAGAAAATTGGAGCTGATTTTGGAGAAAAAAGACAGAAAATGGGATTTTCTCTGGACTTTAGTTTGGATCAGAGGCTTTTTTCCTTTTTTCTGCAGCTCTGGAGCACAGTTAGAGGCCTTTTTCAGCTTCTGTTTGGGGCTCTGACTCTGTGGTGAGCGTGCCGCGGCAGGTCCCTCCGCGTTCGTGACCCGACAGCTCGCGCTGTGGGAACCGCCGGCGTTCCCAGAGCCCGTTCAGCCCCCCCTGGACACGTTCCACCGTTCCCCGTTTGGCTTTTATCCCAGTCGTCCTCTTTAGATCGAGGCTTTCCTCGGGTTCAATGCACTTTCTGCTTTTTTCTGCCAACTCCTCAGTCAGAAAAGTAGACAGCCAGCAGCTAGTTTTTTACACAACTCCTCTCTTTTATGAGGCAATGATCTGTCACGTGCATGTTGTGGCAAAAGTAGAGACAAGATGCGGGTAGATGACACCGAAATAACACCCAAATGCACAAAGTGAGTGAACTTTGTCACGTCAGTCTCCAATAACCTCACAAAAACAAACAAACCTCCAAAAACCTAAAAAAAAAAACATCCAGAAAGTAATAAAACATCCACAACATCCCAAAAACTAATAAAAAACTTCCAAAACAACAAAAAACAACATTAAAAAAACTCCAAAACCAAAAAAAACAACAAAAAAACAACAAGTAAACAACAAGTAAAAGAAAAACTTCAAAAAAACTTTTAAAACCTAAGAAAAAAAACTTTAAAAACCTAAGAAAAAAAACTCCAACGATAGCAGAATAATTCCTCTGCTCCCACAACAACAAAAAAACCCTCGCAAACTTTCTAATTTAATATGCTAAATATTTTTGAAAATTACATTTAATTTTAAATAATATCCTTCTCGGAAATCTGATTGGACGCTGCATCTGCTCCAACGTTAAATCTAATAAAAAAACTTTAAATCTAAACAAAAACATTGTTAAATGCAAAGAATAGTAGATGTTTAAAAAGTTGTTCATTAAAAAACTGATTTGAAATGTTAACAAAAACGTTTTTAAATGGGAATAAAAACCCAAATGTGAATGTTTTTGCCCAGCATGTTGGTTGCAGGGTCATGTGAGGACAGCAGCCCCCAGAGGGAGGCAGGGGCACAGCAGGCCCCCCCCTCATCTCCCCCCCCCTCCCCCCCCCCCTCCCCCAAGGAGCTCACCCAGCTCTTTATTTCCCTTTTTAGTGAAATTTGGACCCATGTTTCTCCTTTTTATCACCCACAATTTGTCCTCTCAGCTCCCTTTTTCTGGCTGGAAAACAAAAAATCTGAGTTCTAGCATGTTTTTTCAAGTTTTTTGATCATTTATCTGACTCCGAAACTCATTTATGTAGGTTATTTTAGTTTTTTTAAGGAAAAACTAGCAAGAAACAGCTTCCCCGAGAAGTAGAAACTCCAGCATTTGGGATAATTTTGGGGCTCTTTGTTTTAAAAGCAGCCAGAACAGACCTGAGAGGACAATAAAAAGGGGTTTAAGACACATTCAAATGCCTCCTTGATCAGATTTATGACAAATCGCTGTAATAATCTGAGCTCATTTCACGCAGAAAAAAAACATTAAAACTTGCACATGAACACATGTTTCCACTTTTCTCTGTAATATCTGCTGGAGTTGAGCTCATTTAGTGGAAATAAGAGCTGATTCCGGAGGCAAAAAAACAGAAATTCAAAGCTTAAATTTGAGATATTCTGATTTGTTTTCATTTCTGTTAGTCATTTATACGATTCCCACATCAATTTCTTCTTGTATAACATGAAATTCAACTTTTGCCGTGTAGCTCCTCTGTGATTTATGATGTTTTCAGAGTTGTTTACACAGAGAAAGTTCTTTCTTTTCGAAAAAAAATGACCAGACGTGGATTTTTGTTTATTTTCCGAGTAAACAGCGAGAAGAGCCTCACGGACGCACGCTTTCTCCTCCAGAATGCAACCGAAAGCTCCCAAAAAAACGCACAAAAGCCACAAAGTCCAGCTGTTTTCTGCTCGTGAGTTCTTCTTGTTTGACAGAAGATGCTGGACGCTATCTGGACCGGCTGGACTGGACCGCCATATTCCTGCTGGAGGGGGGATTTGGAGTTACTTAGTTAAACAAGTTTTGAGTGAATGTTTGTATTTAAAAGTTTTATACTTTTGCTTTCTGTTCTCCTTTTTTGTTCGTGTGTCTGTACTGGGGCGTCTGCTGTCATTAGTGGTTTGTTCTGGCCCCCCCCCCTCTTGTGTTGTAACTCTCTGATCAGCGTTTTTATGACTGTGTTGGGTCAGTTCGTGTCTTTGTTCACAGTTTTGTCATTTTTAGTTTCTTTGACCTCTTTTATGAGCTCGGAATTTAGTTACTTTAAATTCGGCCTTCAAATAAAAAACAGCAAAATGGATCAGAGGCTTCAGATGTTGACGTTTTATCCAGAAAAAGCTCATTAAATTGAGCCATTTATGTTATTTTAGGATGTTAGATGGAAGAAAAGCGGAGTCAGGAATCACCAGAAACAGGAGCTTAAAGCTTTAAACTAGAGCTGGAACCTCTATTTTGCGTGTTAAACAATGCAAACAGCTTCAGAAGTGACTAAAAATCTTTGATTTTCAGCCATGGAATAAAGTTGGAGGGGTTTTAATGATTTATAGGAGCTGATTCTGGAGTCAAACCAGCAGAACTCAGGGTTCTCTGGACTCTGGTTTCTGTCAGAGTTTAAACAGAACAGACCAGGAAGCATCCAGCTCATTTTCATCCCCGAACAGGGAGAAAACTTTAGAAGTTTTCTGTATTTTACTGTTCAAAGACAAGCTCTTTGTTCAATTTTCCATTTAAAACATAAAGAAAAAGCCATTCCCATATGTTTTCTTCAAGAGATCATTTGCAAAGTGGTCTAATAAGCTCCTGATACTGAGTGTGTCGGTCATTTAACGGCTTTATTCGGAGGAAAAACCGCAAACTGAACTTGAAAACATTGTGTAATCTTGAAAGTCATGGTCGGTCTCTCCTCTGCCAGCCATTAATGTTGTTGCCATGGTCACAGCTTATGTTCACGCTCCGCGGCTCCGCGTTTGTGCGCTGGGTTGCTCAACGGCGGAGCAGTTGGGGGGTCAGCGGATCAGAGCTCCGGCTAACTCTGAGGGAGCAGAACCTGGCACCAGCCCCCACCCTTAGCACATTTTCTTGGAAGCGGCGTGGGCCGTTCGAGCCAAATCCCGCCGTCACATGACTTCAGGAGAAAGGAAAGTGAAGCTGGAACAGGGGAACCGGCAGGGAGACGGAGAAATATTCCGGTTTATTAGCCGCATTCCTGCTTCAGCTGCTGGTTCTAAAAGATAGATCTGTTCTCCGTCCATCCAGAAACAGACTTCTGTGTACAAGTTATTATAAAGTGTGTGTGGGGGGGGGGTAAAGGGAGGCAAACTGGGAGGTGAGGGAGTTCACAAAAAATGCTCAAAAAGCCAAAAGATGACTTGTTTTTTAATCCAATCTGCTTATAAAACCATTTGTTGTTTTTTTAATGGGGTCACCGGAGCAAACCCCACACAGATGAAACAGTGTTCAAGGTTTTTATACATTTTTATTCTTATTCTTTTAATCTTCTCGTCCTGGTTTGGGGCTCTTTGCGGAGGCGGAGGGGGCCTGAACGCTCGGACCAATCAAACCACAGCGTCTGCTGCTTCTTTTAGGCCATTTTAGCCGCCTGGGCTCTGGTCTGCAGCTTTAAAGTGGCTTTCTGTGGCCGTAGGCGCCCCCTGCTGGCTGGAGGCTGCCTCCACGCCTCCGGTCTGCCCTGACCACACGGCCTCCAGCTGCACGGAAACATCTGGAATTCCGCTTCCAGCTTCACAGAAATATCTTGAACTCTGCTTCCAGCTGCACAGGAACATCTGGAACTCTGTTTCCAGCCTGCGGAAACATCTGGAACTCCGCTTCCAGCTTCACAGAAACATCTGGAACTCTGCTTGCACTCTGCTTCCAGCTGCATAGGAACATCTGGAACTCTTCTTCCAGCCTGCAGAAACATCTGGAACTCTTCTTCCAGCTGCACAGGAACATCTGGAACTCTGTTCTGCTTCAATCCAGCTGCAGAGGAACATCTGGAACTTTGTTCTGCGTCAATGCACAGGAACATCTGGAACTCTGCTCTTCTTTAATCCAGCCGCCCCGACACATCTGGAACTCTGCCTCCAGCTGGCGTCCACATGTTGCTGTCCCTCAAACTGTGGGGGGAGGGGACAACCCGCCCCCCCCCCGCTCACACCAGGCCTGCGAACAGGGACTGGGACACCAGCATGTCCAGCAGGTTGTGCGTGCGGCGTGGGGGGGGGAGCGGCTGGCATCCGGGCGGGTCCCTGAGCGTGAGCAGCACCTGGGCGGGGTCCCGGGGGGGCCAGGCGCCGCCGGCGGGGGGGGTGGCGCCAGGCCTATAGCGGCGGCGGCGGCTGCCCCTTAGCGGGCCGTGCAGCGGGTAGCAGGCGGGCTGGGACAGCTCCCGCATGGAGTCCAGGTACTCCTGCATGCTGTGGACCAGGTCCAGCAGGTCCCCCTCCTCCTCCCAAAGCTCCTCGATGGTGGGCAGCACGTCCACGCCGGACAGCAGCAGCCTGGGCTTCATCCTGAGGGGAGGAACCCGCCGGACGCCATGTGTTAGAATGACGGTATAAAAGTTAGCATGCATTCTCTGAATTACATATGTGATTGTGTATGTAATTGGGTTAACTGTGTTGTTGTGTGTTAGCAAGAAGGGTATGTCGTAAGCACAAGCCGTGTTGCATGTAATGCAATAATGTTTCCTTTCCCCTTCCTTCCAACCCCCCATCCCTCCCTCCCTATGTGTCCTTGATGTTGTGATTTGACTGTATCTGTGCTTTAGTGTACTGAGGTGTTTTTTTAAAACCATGGTTACATCCCCTGTAGGGGGTGTGGCACTGGTCCTCTTTTTTTCCCCCTCTTCCTGCAAAAACTTATCCCAGCATAGTCTGTTCTGAAGAAAAAACGGAGCGCCCTAGTATGTGGCTGCCCTACGGTCTTCCCGAACTGGTGTTATCTTGTACGGGCTGTACTGAATTTCTCCATTGGTGAGATCAATAAAGTCTTCTTCTTCTTCTTCTTCTTCTTCTATAATGGTGTCTGCTGACCACAGTAGTGACCCTTGAGACAACACTCCTTGTTGGCAGCTGAAACAGAGGAACGACTGGACTTGGTTCCTCCTGTTACATCAGCTGTCTTCCTGTTCAATCAGTACATCCTGTGATTAAGACCAATGTCCAATCAAACATGTGTATCCCTACTGTCTTTGGAGAAGAGGAAGTCACAAATCTGTGATAGGGTGGAACCAAATCAATGGAGAGGGGAGCAGCATGAGACCTCAGAGTAGGTTGGAGATTGTAAGACTCTTTGCCTTCAGGAAACATGGTTCTGGTTCTGGTTCTGGTTTTGGTTCTGGTTCTGGTTCTGGTTCTGGTTCTGGTTCTTGTTCCTGAGTTTTTAAAGCCCCCCTCATCCCTTTAAGATCAGACTTTTTCCTTTCTAATAAAGCTGATAGTTACAGATGATCAGAAACCCTTAAACATCCCAGAGGTCTGCTGGGGGGGCTCCCATGATGCACCTCTCCTCCCTCCATAGGCCCAGACTGCTAGGGGGGGGGGCTCCCATGATGCATCTCTCCTCCTTCTAGGCTCAGACCTCATGGATCAGCAGCAATCCGATCAGCTCCTCTTCTAAATTGGTCTAATTCACTCAGAGCCAATTAAAGAGACAAATCCCTCCATCAGAACCAGAACCAGGAGTAGACCTCCATCAGAACCAGAACCAGGAGTAGACCTCCATCAGAACCAGAACCA